TTGACCAATTCGAGTTAACTAGTATCTACTGTATAACTGTTACAATAATCATTTTGTGTGTGTATATATATATATAGGCTTATATATATATAACTATTATAAATTATTTCGAATTTTAAGTATAATACTGTAAAAATACCCACATGCTTTACAGGAGACCTCGAATAACTGGAATATATTTTAGTGTAGTGTGTTCTAAGAATGTAACAAATTGATTTTTTACCCTATGACAACCCTTTTACTTGTCATAAAAGAAACGTTAATGTTTACTTTTAACTAATTAAAAAGTTTCCAAATTATATTCAACAATTTTAAGTATATTTTATTTACAATGGTTGATGAAAATTGAAAATGGTATCGATTTCTTTTTTTGAGAAACAGATCAAATATGCAGTAGTTTATTCTAAAAGATTTCATAAATTTCTAATATTAAAACCTAAAAATTAAATTGCATATTTATTATCGATCAAAGCGGCGTAATTTTCATGAGATAGTTTTTTGTAGGCAAGATATGAGGACAAAAAGGCAGTTGAATTAATATCTGTATTATTCTATTTAATGAAAGTTAAACTTCTATATAGCTATGTTTAATACTTCGCTTGGCTGCCATTATTGTGAGTCGGGCCACCAGAGATATGGAGTGAAATGTCCTCTTCATTTCTACTAAGCATGCGAGTCAAACAAAAACAGTACGGTGCCAAATTCACAATTGAAAAAGACATCATAATAACCCATAAAGTGGAGAAAGTTAAAGCAGAAAATTATGGACTACAGTGGGTGTTGAGAAGCACTATTTACTGTAAAAGAGGGGTAACTATAGATTTAGTCGGTTGTAATAGAGAAAGTTGCTAAATAAAGGTAATATTTTCGTTGACACAATATTACGAATCATTACATTTATTGCGTGTTTATAAACAGCAGAAATAAATTGAAAACCGCTATGTTCTAATAACAAGTTACTGAAACACAGTGTTTCCAATTTATTTCTTCTGTTGTCTGTGCACGATCTTTTTATTATTTACACTCTCTCCATTTCTGTAACTAATAGTTACTCTCTTAGCTCTTCTGAAGTAAAATGCATTCTTAATTCTATCATACATTAGTTTAAATTTTTTTGTCTTCTCCAGACTTTCAATTTTTTCACAATCTCTTTCAAGCCATTTTTTGGCTTGTTCCACCTTTTATTTTCCACTCTTTTTGACTACTTTGTATTTTTGTCTTCCATCTTCACGGTTCACATTTTTCCACCTTTTATTTATTATATTTAGCATTTCCTCCGTAATCCAAGCTGATGAGTGGTTTACCCTTTGTTTTTTTAACCTGTTTCTCTGTTGTAGGACAAATCTTTCATTAATATTCACAATTTGTTTGGTCCTTCAGGACCCTCTTAATTTATTTCTTTGAGTTTTTGTCCTTTTGAAATTTTCTAAAGTCTATTTAAAACTGATTTTTTTAACTTCAGTTTAAGTTTTGCGTGTAAGAGGTTGTGATCAGAGTCTATGTCTACATCTGATTGAATTCCTGTATCCCTATTTAGTAATTATATAGTCTATTTGGTATCTGTTATTGTCGCTGGGATCTTTCCAATTATAAAATCTTCTCTTATGCTTTTGAAATTCTGTGTATGTAATCATTATTCTATGTTTTTACCAGAATTTAATAAATTTTTCTATAATTTAGTATGCAAATTTTCTTTTCAATGCTTTCCTTCCACCTCAAAAGTACGGCTTGATAAACGATTTTAAAACAGAAAGTGAATTGACACTATTAAGCAAACCACTAAGGTCCATCCGAAAGTAAAAGAAAAGCTTAGGTTGTGTAATCAAAAAATAAGTTTCTTTTTAAGTAATTATTTTGGTTTAATATTGTTTTTCGTTTAAAAACACTGCTTAGCATCGTGGATAATGTTAATTTCGTTGTTGTGTATTAATTTAACTCAAAATAGATGTAAAATCCATATAAAACAATGAAATTATTTTAAAAGATTAGTCTTGTTATAGGTTAAATGCTTACATTACATTACATGCGGTGAATAAGTAATTTTATATTATTTTTATAAATACCACATACTTTTCCTTCTTTGATTAGATGTTGTTGTGGTTTAAGACGAATTAGTGCATTCAACATTTCCGTATGTAGTCAGTTTTCATAATGAATTGGTTGAAAATGTTTTGAATAAGTGTCAAATATAAACAAATTTTTAAAATTAACATTTAAAATAGATCAGTTTTTGTCTAAAGATGCCCAATCGAAGAGCCTATGTAAAAAAATTTTTTTCTTCACTAATTTTTATTAGAAAATCGCAAACTCGAATTTGGTGTAGTAGGTTGATCACTTTATTGACCATTTTACACACTTCCAATCCTTCACTTTATCTATCTCAAAACTTGTATACTCATCTCTTCTCATCTCGATAGTGGAGTGTATATAGCCTTACACTTTGTACTCTGAAGAAACAGGAGGGGTGATCGCACAGCGACTAAAGAAGCGGCCTTATCGAAGACGATCAATCCGAGGAAGACAGGAGAGAGGTCACGAAGCGACCAAAGCTGGCCTTATATGAGATGGCCCACGCGAGAAAGGGGGACAGAATGCTTTTCGGGAGGACTTGAAGGAAAAGCTGGTCCCTATTCAGGCGTCATTGGCAAGGAGGAAAAGCAGGAAAAACTCCCGCTGCCAGCTCGTCCGAATGAGGCGCGAACCCCTGATCGAAATCCGTGTTTATGGTCTGGTCACCACCATTAAAAACTTGTATACAGTAAAACCTGTCTATAGCGACCACCCACGGTTCCTACAAAAAGTGGTCTTTTAGACAGGTGGTCGTCCAATACAGGTGTTGCTGTAATACCGTATTTCCGTACCTATTTTGCGCACTTTTTAGCCATTTCTATTAAGCAAAACTCGAGATGAGAAAAAAATAAGCGAATTTTTTCAACGATAGGGCTATATTGGTATTGTATTTTATTCTTATCGGATAACCCGATTTACAGGAGTCGTCATGATATTATAAGACAGATTTAACACCAATACTTTAAAGATTAATACAATAGTCGCATTTTCTCGATTATAATGCACACTTTCTTTTTTCCGACTTAATTAATTCGACTCGGTTCTTTTCGTTCGCTCCTCAGTTACGTGTATTACGTCATCAATATACAAGCGCGTCCTATCTCTCCATCACTTTGCTTTTGGTTTTCGTTAGTTTAATCTTATTTTAACTTTAAAAATACTGTATTTTTTAATATTTAATATTTTCTTAATTAATTAAGTACAATAAGAAAAATTATTAATTAATAATAAAACGATTTTATTATTTTTTCTCATTATACGATTTCATTACAATCGCGGAATCGAAAAAGGAAGTAAAACTGATTTTTGCATTAATGCGTTTATTGTTTTTTGAATATTTTGCCTGCGAAAATTACTTGGATATTATTTTTCTAAAAATATCGTGGAAATAAGGTAGGTTGATACAGAAACTATTTATCGCACGTGTACTGTATATGAGCTTCAAAATAAATAAATAAAAATAGATTTTATCAAACGATGAGATCAGCCGATTAATTGTATCGTGTACAATATTTTACACCCCCAAGGAAAATACTGTAGGTCTAGGGTAAAATAAATTTTGTTTTCCCACAGTTAAACTTCGCCGCTAATTGCTGTTGTGATAACTTTAATACGATCTTCTAACGACAGCACTTTGCATTTCGGACATTTTCCAACAAACTGAAATGAATTTCCTTTGTTGCTAGACTAATTTATTAACACCTGCACCTAATTTCAAGGGTGGGAGAAGTGCCCGGGATGGGTTCGAACGAGAGTTTAGACTAATTCATTATATTAGGAGGTGGAAACGTTGTTGAGATGGGTTCTTACAATAGTTTAGACCAGATACATTCGCGAAAGTGGTCGCTTATTACAGGTGTTGTATGTTGTTTCGGACCAAAAATCGATGCCCGCGGTCGCGTTACACAGGTGGTCGTTTAATACAGGTAACTTATACGAAGACTCTATGGATAAACTATTCCGTGCCAGAAATTTTTGCCCGTTTTGGCAGGTGCCCGTCGAATGCAGGTGGTCGCCTAAGCAGTTTTCACTGTACTTAGAATTTTACATTTTACAATACAATTTTATTATTTACACAATACACCCGTAAAAATACATTTTTCTTGATTTATGAGTTTCGAAAATTCTTTAAAAATATTATGAAAACCATAAAAAAAGATTTAAAATAAAATTCATTTTTTCATTGTTAGCGCTCTTCAACAATACGTTTTGCATTCGATTGTTATAGAATTGTGTTGGCTTTTCGGCATTGAATTTTCAGTCGATGGACTTTTCTTCTAATTACTCGAAGCATTCCCGATATATCGAATGGGTCTTAAGAATTAAGAACTTTTAAATATTGTTTTTGATCGTTTCGTAACATTAGCTTCGTATTGTTGTATTTTCAATTGTCAGAAGATATATCAAAATCGACAAAATTGCGAAAATGTTTACTTTTCCTCTTCACTTTATGGCAGAATTTTCTTTTAAGAAAACTTCAGCAAGGTAACTAATTAATTTATTTATTTATATAAATTAAAAATCGCGTTAAAATTTCAAATTCATTAGATAAATTATTATATTCATTAAGATTTGCATTTAATGTAATTTATAAGTAAATTAAAGTCTAAAACTTAGCTTCTGGGTGACCTGTCTGCGGGACATTGTTCACTCGCATTGCTATAATTCTGAAGACCATCAAACAACGTCAATACAAAATTCCAATTAGTGGGCAAATCAACGACGTAATACACGCGAGGAACAATCAGCCAATCAGGTAGCATTTATTAATTAATTAATAAAGCGCACATTAATTTTGAAGATCGAAAAAGTCCAAAAAAAGATTCTCATTAAGTTCGAAAAAATAAATACTAACGTGTATTTTATTAGAAATTAATTTTTATTGTGTGCTATCCATGTGATTTTATTACGTTTATCAGAATAAATTTTCTTTTTAGCCAAGCATTTAACAAATATTTTACCGAATCCGAGATAAGAAAATTGTTAAAAAGATACTTTCCTTTTTAAAAAAATGCGATTAAAACACTGGAAAGATTACATCTATGACGTAGAACTCGTGACGTGAAGCGTGACGCATTGCAACGTTCGACGAATTCGAATTCGTTCCATTTCGTATTGCCTTCGCCATCTTGGAATATAACGTTCTTCGGAAATTGTGAGTTATTTTTACCTTCCATTTTATCATTTTTCGTATATACAGTATTTTAATAAGTTTAACTTGCGTAAAGTAAGTAACTTAATATCTTTCTATTAAGATATCAAAATTAAATAACTCGCGATAGAAACGTCTTTATATTTTTCATTATCATTAAAAACATAAGATCTTTTTCTAGCCCCATTCATAGGTAAATGGTGACTTTACCTGTTTTATTTTAAAATAAACTCAGATATTTCCTCTGTATTTTTTACGGGATTGTATAATTATGGACTCCATAACAGATATAGCGTTTAGAATAATATTTCTCTTCCTTTTAAGATCGTTGTTATATCTTATAGCATTACTGTGTACCATATCAATTTAGTATGCTGTTGATTATGCAATTTATAATAGCGAAAATCCAAATGAATTTGTTGACTACAAATATATACTGACCACATATGATGTAGTGTACAAGTAGATGACACTTTGCATGCAAGAATATACTTTAAAAACACAGACCTGAAAGTACTTCATGGCATGTAAGGTGGATAACTTATATGTTATAGAAACAATTGTGAATGGATGCAACGTGAAATTCTTTATGTCAGAGTCTGCTAATTTTTCTACCGATGACTTTTTTAATATTATTATGTGCACTTTTGATCATTTAGAAACCATACTCCCAGACAAGGTAACGATGATTGATATTTTAGGAGAACAGGCAAGCCTCCTAATTATTATTAGGAACAGACAAAGATTCTCTTAGAACACAATGATACCTGTTAGCTTACTGAATATCGCAACATGCTTACCAATTTCTTAGGGCTTCGAATATCTTAAAACTGTTGAGTCCATTCACTATTCAACAATTGTGCAATCGTTTTGAAAGCAACCCTCTATCAAAAAAGCATCCATCAAACTTGTTAAAGTATATATCAATAAAAAAACAATTTCTTATTATCTGGTGATAAAGTGTTGTTTTACTCGTACTAATGAATGAAATTCACTTGCAACCAAATTCTTCAAATTATAAGGGAGGAAATATGGTTGGAAATATTTCAAACAAAGCATTTCCAAAAACATTTTCATCCTTAATCAGCCAACCAAGAATGTGTATTTAAAACACAGCTTGTTATCCAGTTTTAAAGAGGTTGTGCACATATTGCCAATTGGAACAAACACAAGTAACATATTGCATAATTTTGTGAAAAACATCATATTGAGGATGGTAGATTTTGGCATTGAAGTAGTGCAGTTGTTGCACATAATAATAAGTTAAACAGTGCATCAATGGCTTTTTTCAATAATCTTCCAAATGTAACACATAGTTATCAGTATCCTTACCCAATATATTCAAATAGGAATGTTTATTTTATCTTTCTGATGATAAATGGCCTTTACTTACCTATATAGAGGTTATGCTTCTTACACAGTGACAAAAAAGTTAAAATATGCTTCACTTAAAAGAAACACTATTCCAGAATGTTTCCTTTAAGTGAAAGACGTGATTATGCTTCCTTTTATGAAAGGTTAATAACCGCACCTAATAGTAGTAGTTTGTGCTATCCAAATAAAAATGTTATCTATTGCACTGGCCATGCGTATGTCATCATACAAAAACTTTTGTATAAAAAGCTTCAAAATATGTTTTTTCAAAAGCCAAATTATAAAAATATAGTTATTGCCCTTGCTGAAAAAAAAGTCATCAAATTTTTGTTGCACACCACTGTCATACACATGTAGCTGCTGATCTCTATAAACAAACAATACACATTACTGAAAATAACTTGTTAAATAACTACACTAAAAAAGTATGATTTTCAGCCAAAAGCAACATGACACAATACAAGAGATCAAAAGTTACTTATAGTTCAAATAAACTTTGACCGCTTTAATTCACATATTTAAGAGTTATACAATAACCCTATTGTTCTGAAATTTCTATATTTAGCTGTTATACAGCGAAAACAATTCTCTTTATCTATGAGCGAGTAGCGGAATTATAATCAACCTTACACAAAATTACTATTACTTAAATACTTAATATCATTAATATAGTATACTATTTTTCTAAAATAAAATGTTCGCAATTTGACTTAATTTGTCAAGTTTTCTGTTATATCATTTATGTTATAATAATTTTTTATTTCTATACAAAAAATTTAAGTATATTACATTTTATATTAAATTAAATAAAGACGTAGAAATTACGTCACGCGTATAAGTTTCTTGCGACATTCAAATATTTCCTAACAATAGATCCTTATTGTTATATTTTCAATTGTTAAACGCCATCTCGAAATTGTAAAAATAGCAAATATTTTCAGTTGTTTCTCTGAAATATGTTACTTTGAAAATAAATTTTCTTCTAAGAAAACTTCAAAAAAGTAAATAATTAAATCATTGTATAAATATTTAAAATAACGATTGATATCGTCCATATTATAAAAATTATAACAATCATATACATTTAGATTTTAACTTATTCATAAAAATCGAAACATTACTTTTCATATTTAGACGATTAACTCAGTAATGAATAAATATATACTAATAAGACAGTAAGAAATAACATATTATTTTCCATATTTTCAAACCGAATAAAGATTATCTACAAAATCGTCGAGTCGCACGAGGGTATGTGTTTGTTTATATATTTTTAATGACTTTCAATGGAATCGTAGTAAATAAATTATATTTCTATAGGCATACGTTAGCCCTCGGCGACGTCGTGAAGACCGAAGTGGGATTATCTACAGTTACGTCGAGTCGCACGAGGGTATGTGTTTGTTTATATATTTTTAATGACTTTCAATGAAATCCTAGTTAATAAATTATATTTCTATAGGCATACGTTAGCCCTCGGCGATGTCGTGAAGGTGGGCAAGGGATTATTAATATACAATATTATTATTCGAATATGTTTCGATCCAAGGATCGCAATTTTAATAATACTGGTTTAAACAAATGCTTTCATAATGTAACAGATGAATTTGACATTGGTATTGGAAATAAATAGTTTTATATTTATAATAGTAAAAGCAATTAGTTAAACTAAGCAATAATCTAATGTACTACATGTGCTTTGTATTTTCAAATGAATAATCATTATTATTTGTTCTTTTATGAGAAATAAATAAAAATTCAAAATATGCTGAATTTGGCTTATTATAATATTTTTTTTCTCAAATTGGGACAATTTTTAGAATATACTCACAACAGAAAATGAATCCTACTAGGATAACTACCTGATTGAAAAGGCTAAATAAAGAAGTTGTTAACAAAAACAATAACGAGTTAAAAGCAATTTTTAATAACTCAACTGAATACATCTTACTTTTAAGAAGTTATTAATATTTATCACTTGTGTGAATTTTCTTAAAAAATTTTTGTTATTTTTAATGGCATCGAAAAATTCACTGCAATTTCATTCACTGTTAATTTTGCAGAGTAGTAAAGCATTTACGGTTGAATCAGCCATTCTACCTCTTTCTTCAGACCATATGATATTCATTATTGAAAACACTCTTTCGACTGGTGCAGATGTGCCTGGCATGCTGAAAATGTATTCTATAATTTGAATAAGATTGGGCAATGAAATGTTCTTTTCTTTGAAATGACTGAAAAGTTGTATCCATTTTTCTTCACAACTTGTATTTTTTTCAAATTTCATAGTTAGCTGACCAAAAAGCTTTTGCAATCACTACTTCATCAAACAGTTGACCCATGTTTATTATATTATTTGCAACAGTTTCCTTAATTTTTTCACCTAAAGCTTCAATTTCAGTCCATGTTAATTCATTGATGTTTATCCAAGTAAAAGTTTCTGCTCCACCAAAATTGTTTTCCCACAACTCAATGTAAGAAAGACATCTGTCATAAAATGCTATACTATCTTGTAGAATTGTATTGATATTAATACTTCCATTATTTTCTAATATTCTAAAACGTTATGTTTCATGAAACATAAATTTATTATCACGCCTTTCCTCAGTTTGTTTTTAATTTTCCAGGTTCACTGACGATATCAATTGCACTTTCCATAATCAAGATAGCTTTGTTTAACAATTTGAGTTGCCCTTGCACAAACAATAAATACATTTCACCACAATCATTATCAAAAAGCTGTTTTATCATCACTTGACAGTGTTCTTGTGAAATAAAATAAGATTTCAGTCCTTCATAGATTTCAAGTATTCTGTCAATAGCTGGAAATAGCGAAAGAAAACCGATGTTGCCATGTTAAAGCCCCTTTTTATACGCTACAAATTCACAGAACTCTTTTTTTAGTTGAGTGACTCGAACCGTATAAATGTGAAAATATTTATAAATTTTGACCACTAAAGGTTCTATTTCAATAGGTAGAACATCAACTGCAGTTTGAAGGCAGTTATGTACGATGTGAGCACCGTAATCAATGCCAACATTTCTTCCTAGTTCCTTCTTCAATCTACTGTAAATATTGTTTACTCCTCTACGTTTAACACCCCCAAAATTAGCATTGCAATTATCTCCACATAATTCAATAATTTTTTTTCTTTGCTATATTATACAAAATACCGCACAACAATTGGCACAGTTTTAATTTTTTCTTTAAGCATCAAATTTTTTTTATTAGGAAAATATGATAAATCTAATTTAATCATAAAATCTTACTTAATCTAATGCCAGTAGCGTACTTGTAATTTTAATCTTTCTTCGTCTGAATAGAATAATACACAAAAAGCTTAGTTTGATAACAAAAATCCAGGAAGAGTTGCTTAACTTTCCTGGAAACATGTAAAAATGCGTGTGTGGCGCCATCTGTTATGATATTTTAAAAACTTTTTGTCCTTTTATAATGGTCAAAAATATAAAAAGCTTAACTTTTAGGATAAGGATGGGTTTTGTAAAAAAATTGTAAATGTTAATAACGAGTAAAATCGTCATTAGGTCCCACCTTTTTCGAGATATGACACACGACCCCAACTCCCACCCCGTTGACCTTTAACCACCAAAATTTAATAGCATTAAAAAAATTTTAAAATAGCCTGAATGGAAAGTAAAAATAAACTGTTCCTTTTGAAACTCAATTTAAAAAATTATATAAAGGCCCAAATGTTTTTATGTCCCTATGGCCATCTTTAGGTCAAAGCATTTAAAGACTTTTAGATTGTGCTTCTCTGATAATAGGGCTGTAGACCCAAAATATTTAGGAGTTTTAATAATTTGTTCTAATAGAACATTGTTTCATATTAATTTGTTAATTAATAAAGTTTTCCATATTAAACAAATCGCGATGTTTTTTCAATATAATCTGCATTCAATCAGACTATCAATAGAATTAAAATGTATTAAGTATCTTTAAGATTTTAATTGTTCACGAAAAAAATTACAATAAAATTTAAAAGGAATTTTACTCACTGTAATTTATTGAATAAAACAGTAGAATATTTAAATATTTTCTTTAAATACATAACAAAAAGAAAATTTAGAGAATTTTTATTATGTAATATGAAATCAGATGACAATACATATTTTCTTATCATACAGCAGTTTTCATATCAAAGTTGATGCATTTTCTTTTTATAAAGAGAGATTAATTTTGTCAAAAAAAAAAAATTATAAATTTTTATCTTCCAAAAACAAAAATAAACTAAATGTTAATCACCCAAAAGGCATTTATTCTGGACATCCCACCAATGATTTAATGTCCAATCACATTTTCTTGTTTTCAAAACTTCTTTCCTAACTTTAGCATAGAATTCTTCTGCAGCAATTTTGTAAAATGCATATGGTTCATTGGCTTCTGCAAATTTTCTCAGAAAGATAGATCCACGAGTACCGGAAGTCAATTTTGCTTTTTCAGTCTTTGGAAAATCCATAAAAGATTCTCCTCTTCTTGATTGAGGAAAAATAAGACCATCTGCTCTAAGCCCAAATACTTTCTTGCCCTTATCAATTGAAGAGAAATCAGCAAATGTATAAAGTGTAATAGCATATGACTCTAAGAGTCGATGAAGATATTGCACTTTCAAATTGCTGTATCTAGTCTGAAATGAAAATATATATTCATATAAATAACATTAATGTTATATGTATAAATGTATCTTTACTAACAAAACAATTCATAATAATTTAAAAAGAATTAATTGATAAAAATCATGAAACAGACATTAATGAAAAGTCAAAATTTAAAAAACCAAAAATTAACCTACATTCTTGAAAGTTCACTCAAAATTATCAATTTTTATATTTTCAGAAATAAGAACAGTTATTCCAAATTGAAAAGTTAAAGATGTCAAAAATTTGAATTTCTTTCTAATCATTTCAATTATCCAGGGCTGTGCAGTCGCGTAAAAATCTACCGACTCCGACTCCCGCTAAAGCATCAAAACTCCACGACTCCAACTCTGACTCCACAGCCCTGCAATTATCCGTAACAGATATATTTTAACATTTTTAAACTACCTTTTGCATCATTTAACTGCATAGCCTAAAAACTTTGTGCATTCACAACCACTCACTGTATACTCCAGTTATGTTTCTCTGAGATTTCTTTGTATTTCTGAAATTGAAACTGCCTCTAAAAGGAGAACTTTTTCAAGACATCAAAAGCATTCAATTAATTACAGCTTCCATTCTACATATACCAAGAGACCATGCATAAGTCATTCAAATCTTTGACTGCTTATGCTACTCACTGTATAATACAGGAGGAATGTATTTTGAATAGAGTAAATGCTTTTATTTTATTTTAATCCTCATTAATCAGCAGACTATGTAATATTTCCTATGATGTGCCCGAGCACCATAAAGTAATTTTTTAGCAAGGAAGTTGTTTTTAATGATCATATGTTTATCTTTCAACAAATTTTCAAATGATAACTCATTGAGAACTAATTTAGAAAAAAACTAACTTAGATCAAGCTTAATCTTGAATATATATTTAACAAAAGAATAAATTATATAATAGAATATAAATGACATATTATTAAGTGAGGTAGATTAAAAATAAATATTGTCATTTAAAAACAAGATAATGCAGAAAAATCAAATAAATTCAAAAACTATTTAAACAGAAATCCAAATTATTTAAATCATCTTTATAGTTGTCTTCTGAAATTTTAATCTCTAAGAATACTCAATCAGTTGACTACAAATAATTTTATTAAAAAATATAAAATAGCAAGATTATATTTATATAATTTATAAATAAATCTTTTGAAGCAATTCAAAAAACTAAAAATTAAAGAAATATACTAATATAATTAAAAAAATCACTTACATCTGTATCATCTACAGTAAACAAAAGAATAATTTTGGAAGACTGCATGTCAAAAGGCAGGATAGTAGTAGCATATTTTACAGCTTCTAAAGCATCACCTCTTTTTTTCCCTTCAAATTTCAATAACTGTCCCATTGATATAATATCTTTATAAACATGCCATATATCACTAAAAATAAATGATTTTATATTTAAAATATTGCAAATTGCTTTTCAAAACAAATTTATTACAGACTAACAATAATAAATTTAAAGCATCATAATAAATACAAGTTTTATAAACAAATATTATCAATCTATGCATCCTTAAATCCATTTTTATACTAAGCTATATAATCATCAATATACAATGTGTATTTTTTATCTTGAGACAATGAAATAACTTTATTGGATATCATTATTTTGGAAAAAAGGTATAAAGTAATAGACAAAAGTTGTAGGCTGTCGAGGAACCAATCAATTGGTGACCTCAGATGTGACCTTGACCTTTAAGGTCATTTGGATGTCAAGTCTGTTTTCTTCAATGGGAACCCACATTTTTGACACCGGAAATGGAAAGAGCAGGAAATTTTACAACCGAATGTACCTTTGACCTTATTGTCTAGGTCAAAGGTCAAGATTATTTTAAGGTTAAATTTATAAGCTTTTTCTAATGGGAAACAATAGTTTTTATTACTGAAATATCTACAGTGACAACAACTCAGTTTATACATAAATGTCTTTCAAGATATATATCCTGTCTTTAGTCTGTCTTTGACCATTCAATTATTAAATATTGTATCAAATTATACTGCTTGGCAATTGCCAGGGAACAGTGACATTTCTTGATGTAATTAGTACAAAACACTGGTCAAGGAAGAAATACTTATCATGTACAAGTAGAAGCACTATTTTATTGACATAAAATGGCAGTCATTTATTGCTGTGCAAAGGAGCAGAAAAACAAAAACAAGAAGCATAAATATACAGCGTTATGCCTCACCTTATCCAACTCATCCACAATCATATGCACTCAAATGATGATGTTGAGGCATCTGCAACTGATAAGTATTTGCTTTCAACCAAAACATTACACTGAAACTTGGTTACCATCTTTGAACCTTTACTGTGTCATTCCTACAGATGCAAATTTTATATAGTGAGAATAATTGTTGATAAACACCTTTTATGCAAATTGTAAGTATTGCACAATGTGTAAGGTAGCCGACTCAGAGGAGATAGGGGACTTGAAACCCACTCCACTGCACCTGTGTAAGGTTAGAACTGGTGTAGATTGGGCATAAAATCCCACTTCTGACGCCAGTGTAAGGTTGCCATTTCCTAGGTGGGATCTATTAATCCCACGTCAGGATAAACCTAAGGGAAAGTTGTATGTGGGCTGTGACGGAGGAGGCAAGTGATGACATGTGTTTTACACAAGAAAGCGATTTATTTGTTAACATTTATGCTTACATCGACAATCGACAGTCCTTCAACTAGGTTCTCATCGGAGATGCAGAGAGACGAAAAGTTTGGCATCTGTCTGGCCCCGGGGTGGATGAGATAATGTCGCTGATCAAGGCGGATGATCGGAAGTTGGAAGTGGCGGAGTCCAAAGTTTGTGCCGACGACACACCACAATATCAGTTGCGACCTTTCGTGGAGTCAGAGGAGAGCTCTCCCGACCTTGATTTTCCGATTTTTACAGTTTTTTTTCTCCCACTATTCGGACTTCTGATTGGCCCCTTGTCCCCTTCCTCGCTTCCCAATTGGTCTCTCTTTTGTTTTGGGGAAAACCGAGACCGACTCAGGTCACAGGAAAGGTCCGATTCCAGGTGTCTGCTTGACGCCTTTCTGTCGATTGTTTTTGGGGATTGTTGACAAAATTGCAAGACTTGCGCTCATAATTTAGCTCCATTACTCGCGATTTCTGTCACCTGGGTACTCGAACGATCATATGCAATGATTTATCTCTCTTAAATCTTTTCCTCTTTTCCAAAATTGTTTCCCAAGATTGACTGTTTATGAGCACTGGGGTCAAAGTTATACCTGCATATGACCACTTATCTCTGACTTATAACTTTTCATTCTGACATTGACAGTTCGTTTAACATGTGTTGGAGTCATCCGAGACTCATTGTCTACATTTTGTGCCGCGTTGTTTAAATTATGGGATTTTCCTCTCCCTCTCATATTTAATCTATCATTATTACTTAACCATAAGAATACCGCGATTTACATGATTTCGGACCTTGGTTGGGTCCTGACAAATGTTGTCACTTGCAGATTGATTCAAGCAATTGTGTTGCCTATTAGATGGTATTTCTTGGAAACAATGTTGTTATTTCATAGTAATTGTCAAGCAATGTGACTCAGAGACATTCAGAGATACTGTGTATGCATGTTACTTATAGTTACTAAGTCCAGGATAATTTTTAAACATGCATTATGTGTGAATGGTATTTGATATTTAGTTCAAGTTTATTGCATTTGACACATTAATTAATCCAAATTGTTGTTTTTGTTTAAAGGTATTGATTATTGATGTTATTGAATGGCAAATTCAGATGAAATTAGAAAAAAACTTTGGTTATTTACAGACATTGATGAATTTTGGTGAAAATATTTACTATTACTTGATTCAATAAAAAAAATGACAATTTAATCTGGTTTACTATTAAATGAATTTAATTCATTTAAATTTTAACATTCTTATTCTGAACAAGTTTAATTTTTTCAGTGTAAGCATAGTATAAATGGACTTATGTTAAAGTTGAATTATAGATGAAATTACAAACATGAGTAATAAATGTATCAAATATCTCAAAACATATTTTGCTATCATAAGTAAATTTATGTAATAAAATTATGAACACTTCCCAAAATTTTACAGACATCATATATTGGCTATTTAAGTAACTATTAAAATATTTATAACTTATACTTACGTATTTGGTGTTATTATATGTGGATCTTCACGAATTCCCTTTCCACCAAATCCTATTAAACTGTAAAGTATGCTACTGTATCCGTTACTTCTGAATTCATCCTCAACTGCTCCTAATAAACTTTCAAGGCCTTTTAAACCAGGGGAAAACATGGAATAATGTTGATCCATTATAACAATAACTTCTAATTTATGCAAAGAATCAACTACTTTTAAATACCATCTTGGTTTAAATGCTACAATAAAATAAAAACAGATATATAAGTATATTTATCTTTACATTTTTATGCTTGTTTTTGTTTAAGTTTTACTTTTGTCAATAAAATAAAACATAAAATAAACAAATTACACTATTACAGCAAACCCTCAATTTAACAGATTCTGATTTAATGGACAAGAAATTTGTTCTAAAATTATTAGTTTCAAAATAATTTGAGAAAACAAAAATATAATGAATAAAATGATAAAATAAATATAAATAAAAAAGTATAAAATCATATCCTAACAAATATTTAAGTTTTAAGTATATGAGATTGTTGTGTACACAGGGATGAAATAGCCAATCAGGTGAGTGTGTTTTGATCTCAAAGAATAACTACAGGCAAGTAATGTTGGCAGGGATGGAGTGGTTCAATTAAAATGCTCTTCAAAATTGAATTTGGTGTAAGACAGGATACTTTATAACTGCTATCCTGGAATGAGCTTAAAGTAGTTCAAGAAAGAGTCCAAAGTCTGCCCTGTAAACCAGCTAACTTGAATCTAGCTGCACTTGTTCCATCTCTTTTAACTGCCTTAAAATCAATACCTAAAAGTTAACCCAGGCTCTTGATTACTTAGCCACTGCCACTTCACCCTATATAAGGTGTGTTCTGCTATTCCACTGTCTTCAACCTTACCATCAAAAGGGTCGTTTCTCACTTCTAACAACCTTTACTTTCTTGACGCTGATAAAACAAAACAATTCATAGTTTGTTCCAATCAGGATTTCCAGTTCCATACCTCCCAATTTTTAACACAAACAGGATGCATCAAATTGCACTCCAATCCCTTCACTAAGTTAGTAGTTAAAGTATCCCATCTTGCATCAAATTTTGAAGGATGTTTTCAACTGAGCCACTCCACTCCCTTCCAATGGTTATTCTTTGAGGTCAAAACACTCAAATTTAATTGGCAGTTTTTTACTAAAAACAACTAAACCTCAAAATAAAACCTTTTAATATGCAGCTGTTTTATTACATGTATCTATTCGAATGCTTTTTGTCATTTTTAATGACCTTCTTCAAGAACAAAAGTGTTTGAATAGATAATAAAATGACTGCATGTTAAAAGGTTTTGTTTCGAGGTTAAGTTGTTTTTATGAAGTGCAGTTAAAGAAGAGTGTTTTTTATTAAATATCATGTAATATGTTAATTTTTAGTTTATAAATCTGAAATCAGTCTAATTATATTGAATTTTATCTTTAAATTAGAGATATAATCTTATTACTTACAGCAAGGTTCTGTTTTCATTCCATTAACTGTACAAAATCCAGCTAAAGCATCTGGACTAAAGCATGCATTATTTCCTTCAGAAACATCCCAATAGCAAGCTTCCTTAAAAATTTCCTGATCAATATCTAAATAAACTGCACATGTCGATAAGTGACGTGTAAATGTATTTGAACACTGATCATGTATATTACTAGACCATTCTGGTTTCATTTTTTCTTGCAGTTGTCTACATATTTTGTGATTACTCATTTCATATCCCTGAGCCAATTCAGCTGCAGTTTGAACAATTGTACCATTAGCAAGCTGAAAAATAAATACATAAAATTAAAGTTTTTATCAATTCCTTTTTTTCAAAGCACCTCAATAATAAGTGCTAAATAAGTTACATAATAAATCACTGATACTATTTAAAAAGTGTCATTCATTTATTAAAAGTATAGTTACCTTATTATTTAATTTATAAATAAATCAATTAATTATTTACAAGTATTTAAAAATTTATATGTATTTTCAATTAAGAATGCTTAAATTACTTTATTCATTTATTTTTAACTTTAAAAATCAATAAAGAAGAATTTTATGATTATCTTAAATACAAACCATAAAATCATTGTAATGTTCACCATCAGCATTGCCTAATAATCCCATAATTCCATTGTGATGTAATGGATCCAACATAAAAATGCAAAACATCCTTTTTGTATCACAAAGAACCTTCAGTCCAATAGTATTCACTGCTATAATTTCCCCTTCACGAGTTACTGATACTTTACTGAAATAATAAGTAAAAATAAAAATACTTTAATAGAATATACTTTTCATATATGTGACTACATATATTATCTTATACAAGATGTGGCAGAAAAGTAATGAGATTGGCGTCACTGAGAGCAATTTGGCAATACTGCAGACTTCCCTTTCATATAGCTTGTATGTCAGTCCCTCCTATATGTTCAGTAACAGTTTCAACCTTATTCAACTACTAGCAGACCCCGCCATGCGTTGTTGTGGCTCAAAGTGTATAAATGTATAACACTTCCCCGTGTGGGAAGAAATTTTTTGAAAAATTTCTTTTTAGTGTACATTCTCTTGGCGTGCCCTATTAAAACGCAATCAAAAACGCAAAAACCCGCATCTAAAACAGTATAATAGAAATCAAGNTTATTCATCTATGCAATCTTAAAGAGCATGATAAGTGGAGTTTTGTTTTTTGGTATTTCATTACAGAAAATGGAATAGCAAAATTTGGAGCAATGTTGTGCCATCAAATTTTGTGTTAAGCTTTGTGAACCCACAAGGTTGACCTACAAAAAGTTGCAACAAGCCTATGGGAAACTCCTTATCATAAGCACAAGTTTTTCGGTGGCACAAAGCATTTTTTTGGAAAGCCTAGAAACAGTAGAAGACAAACCTCACTCAGGGAGCATTCAACTTTGAGAATTGCAGAAAATGTAGAATGAGTGAGAGCTTGTGAGGTCAAACTGTCAACATTGAGTGCTTCGAATCAGATGGAACATTGCAGACACTTGGATGCTCCACCATGACAACTCCTCCCGTCACATGGCCATCTCCATCAATCAGTTTTTGACAGAAAAAGAAATTCCTGTGGTTCCCNAATGAGTGAGAGCTTGTGAGGTCAAACTGTCAACATTGAGTGCTTCGAATCAGATGGAACATTGCAGACACTTGGATGCTCCACCATGACAACTCCTCCCGTCACATGGCCATCTCCATCAATCAGTTTTTGACAGAAAAAGAAATTCCTGTGGTTCCCTAGGCCCCCTGTTCACCTGATCTCAGTCCTGTGACTTTTTTGTTCCCCAAGATAAAAACCCATTTGACAGGATGTCATCTTAGTACTGTTGATAACATCCAAAGGAGCATAACCATGTTGCTGCAGGTGATTCCAGTTGAAGCCTTCCAGCACTGCAATGAAGACTGGCAACAACGCCTTTACCAATGTATAGCTGCCCAAGGGAACTACTTTGAAGGGGATAACATTAATATATTAATATAATTGTTGCAAAAAAATTTGTCTTATTACTTTTCTGCCACACCACATATACAGGATGTCAATTTAAACATCTGTCCAGGGACAAAAGAGATCTTTTCAGCATTACTTCAGTGCATGTTTGTGGTGCATGCTAGTTTCAGCATTAAAATAGCTGAAGGGAAGATTTTCTTTTGTTCATCGCTTTTTTCAAGTTAATGTTTATTTCACACTATTTAGAATTTGTAAAGCTGGCAACCTAGCAACTTTTTGTGCTGTATATGCCACTATTGGTTACAATAATTTATCAAAACTTTACATTTCATTACACACCAGGGAATATCATACACTTATAAAATTATATTTCCTTCTTAAAGGGACCAATTTAAGAAATTAACTAATTTTGTCTAGTTATTCTTCCAAAATATTTAATGATTCAGGTTTTCTAAAACTAAATTTTTATCTATGATATAAGACAGTTAATCACATTTAAAAATACATTTCTGGACACTCAAATATTAACAAATAAATAATTATTCTTCAATTTTAGTATTTATTCCTAATATTTTTTCAGATATTCTCTTGTTTTCCTTTGGCTACAATTCTTGTCTAATTTCTCCATTTTGTAATTGTAATTGATGTAACTTTATATTACTTTTTATAGTTGTTTTAAAGATGAGAAATTTGTCTTCAAAATATCTAATATTAAAAATATTTTTATTTGCAAAAGGAAATCTATTTTATTTTTTTAATGATAAGTTATTATTGTTTTTACTTTGATCATATTTTTTCTATTACTTATTTGAATGATTAAATTAGCAATCTATTCTTAATTAAATAGTAAAAATCTAGTAAAATACATATTTCAGAAAATAGAAGAAAACTTAAGATCTAATATGGAAATAGTTAAATGTCATTAATAAAATATTTGACACTAAGAATTTAATGAATCTTAAGTAAAGATATTGTTTTAATTTATTTATTAAAACTATAAAAATTCATTTTTTAAAAAATTAATAGTTATGTAAACTTACCCATTTGGAGATTCAATGGGTACAGCACTCTCTTCATGACTATTATTCACATAAATTTTTTTATCAGAATTTATTGAAATTGTTAGCTCAGGAAACAGCAAATAAATTGTTTTTTCTGAAGTCATAATAGAAAATGATGATTCCCTAGTGTCATGCATCAGTAAGTACATACAATCAGGTGTGGGATATTTTGGAAATTCATATACTTTTCCATCAAAAGTATAAACATGAAGTGGACCAAATATCATTGCTGTTTTATAAAATGGTGGCACTATATATCTTCTTTTAAATAGATTTTCCAAATGAAATTGAGGTAAAAGTTGAAACACTGGATTTCTCCATGTTCCTTCCCATGATCGAGGAAGCTGTTTAAAAATTATAAGTATAAAATAAATCTTAAAAAATGTTATAACTTCTCTTATCATTAAAGGCTGGATTTAGGTGCAAAAAAATTCAAAAAAAAGTGTAGGAAAAAGGCCAAAAAGAGGCAGAATAGGTGCAAAAATTTACATTTCAGAAAACAAAATTAGTTTTAGTCAAATAAAAATCTGTTGTATTGATAGTACATAATATTTATCATTTTGATGTATTTTTCTGTAAAGTTCATTTGCTTGTCTCCTAACAAATGTTTATATATGAAGAAAGGTCTTTCTACTTCTACAGAAACAAGTGGAGCAAACTATTTTAATTCTCTGGTTCATATCTTTGGAATGAACAAATTCTTGAATATTTGTATTTTCCCAAATCAACTGCTCAAGCATTTCTTTTGCAAATCCTTTAACTATTCCCCACTGATATTCCATAATAATTCTAGTTTCTTCCAAACTTTTTATTGCTTCTACTAAGAACTTAAATGTGTGTACTGCATAAAGTTCCTCTTCCAATTTTTGGTCTTTTATGACCTGTTTAATTTTATATATGGTTGCAGTTTCTGGCTGCAACTGTTTAAGAAATTCTGAAATCTTCACAATGAAACAGCTGAAGCATTTATCCAAATTCCCCAGCAAGTTACTATTGTAACAGGTGGAAGAGGCAGACTAATAATGTCCTTGTATTGCTGCTCTCTTGCTGGATACTTTAGCAAATTTTTTTCATTTCAAACATATATGAATTTACTACAGAGTACTCATTGCAAATACATTTACATACTTTATGAATAGCATAGGCTAAACAAGTAACGTGTTTCATATTTGGGTACATTCCTTTCAAATTGTTAACAGCAAGAATCATCTATGATGCTTGGTCTGAGAGAATAAGAATCATATCATCATATTGAAATCCATCAGGCCAAAGCTTCAAGCAGGCATCATTAAAAGCTTGTATGACAAATGTGTTGTTAGTTTTTTCAAAAAATATGTTTTCAGCAACATAGGTTTTTTAGATTGGCCAGTCAGAGGAACTACCAAGATATTTAACACATGCCTATTATGCTATATGCATCAGTAGTCTCATTCAAGATAAAGCAGATTGGATTCTTGCCTGGAAGTACAGTACTTAACAGTTTTTGAAAAAATGCCTGGTAAACAGAAGGTAAGTAATTCTTCCTAATATCACTTTCATCTGGCAATTTCTTAACAACATATTTTTCAGGATAATTTTTAAATATTGAGTTTCAATAATGGAATTCTTGCCCTGATAAATGTTTCAGCAGTATCAAGAAAAAATTAATTCTTTGGAGAACTGACTCCATTTTGCAAGACCTGTCCAATAAACCATTTCTGTCTTGATGAAGTTTCTTTCAAGAGTTTGTTCTTTTGATGTTTTGTACTTCTTATATATTGCTGGATCCTAAACTTTTGATGTTTATCATCGACATTTATTGTCACATTGTAGATATTGCACTGAATAGATTTTCCATCAGAAATACTTTTTTCATTTTTAAATTCTTGCAAAATCTCACAAAATTTGACTGTAGTCAATCTTTTTGCCATTTTTTCACTCTCCAGTGCCTTCACTAATAGATATTTTGAATTTTCTCTCTACAAAGCACTACATGGTTTTAACAATAGATTTATGCTAAATATATATGAGAGTTAGATGAGTGAAATTCCTAAACTGTTAAGAAAATAATTGAGGAGGTACAGAGGAGAGGCAGATGAGGGGAAGAAGAGAAGGATAACAATGACAGTTGAGAAAGGCAGGAAAAGATGATCATGGAAGACATTGAGCGTTAGAAGAGGAACACAAGAATTAAAGGGGTTTTCACCTATTTTGCCAACAATTGGATCATAATTGGACTATACTTTCCTTCATTGTTCTTTTTCCTACATATATGAAAGTTTCTATTTAGTATATTTTTGATAATATCCATAATTTTATAACATTTGTAATGAAGAAAAACCCTAGTAAATTGCTTTTTAGTAATGATTTCTGTCAAATATTTCTATTTAATGTTTTTATTAGTTATGTACATCACTCCTTCAAACAAAATCACAATTCACTAATTACATTAGAACTTGAGTTTCACTAAATTTTGACTTCTCTCTCTTAACCATTAATCCTTTATTGAGCAAGGTGTTAGTGCTTCAGTGATAATAGTGATCATATTACCTCTGGAATTGTCATTTAATTAAGTGCAAACAGTGTTAAACATTATAATAGGTGCAAAAAAGACCCTCACTATCATTTGATATATGTTTATATATGATATTTATGCTTAATTCAAATATTTTTTAATACTCCCCTAAAGGTGCAGCATCTAAAATCCAGCCTTTAGTAATCATATTTTTCTGATAATAGCTATATGAATCATTATAAATTTAAAATCAAATAATAATAATTTCTGTAATTCCTCAATTCTTTATTCATTTTAACTTATCTTAAATAGAGATGTATCTTACAATTAATGGTATCTTACGTTTACAGGTAAAAAAAATCAACAATTATAAATAGATCATGCAATGCATTACGCACCAATAACAGATTATTTTAGTTACACTGATCAATGGTCACATTAATTCAAGTAAAATTTGTTATTAACGAGTGTTTAATTTACACTTCTCATTTAAAATACTTTCAGGATAACATTATAATGCAACTTTAAAAGTTATTATATTTGACAGAGAATGGAAATAAAGCTGCTAAACATTACCTATTTCATAGTATATAATTTTTTTCCAGCCCATTATTTAACAAAACTGATTAATTTACAATTTTTCTCTTCATAAGAAGAATCTTAAAATGTGATTTCAAAATTGTGGCATGTATTAAAATTTAAGAAATATGGTAGTAATATGAACAAAATAAGATAGAATAATTTACTGATAATCTTATCATCATGTTGAATTGATTTATATAGCAGAATTGGATTAAAGATTTAATTATAATAAATAATAATTAAAACTACTAGAGAAATTTAAATTGATATTAATTAATTAACCACTTTCAGTGCTAAGGACTAGAGATGATATGATACTGAATTCTGACAATTTGATCTGATACCAATAATTTTCCAACCAAACCAATACTCACTTCTATCTATACTCTAAAAAATCTATACCTACTCTATAGGTGCTGATAATAAATGAAAGTCTGAAAGTTCATTGGTTTAGAGAATGATTACTTTGTTCACTAACCATTTATATTCAAATATAAAAAAATAAAAGGAAACAAATAATTTTTGGCACCTTTAAGATCTAGGCCCTAGGCAATTATAATTGTCTAATTTGGATAGGAGATATGCCCAATTCCAGCAATGTTTTGAGGAAAAATTTGAGCACACTTTGAATTTGTTCTATATATATATATATATATATATAATATTTAGTTTAAAATCATCATGACATTTCCTTCCATTACAGACTGTTTAAGAAAT